ATGACGATGCATGGCTTTGTGGCTCAACCCGGCGAACCCCGGATTTTGTGGCATAATCCGAAACCTCCCTCGACGTCCTCCGCCCGTGTAGCCAGGTGTGATGAAGCGACACACGCACGATCGCTTTGTCCCTCGAACGCAAGCCTCGATCCGCCCTTCTCCGCCCCATGCGTTTTTCGACGCGCTGCATCCTATCTTCGTTCTTCACTCGTCACCGCATGTACCTTGTCTCCACTGTCACCGCAACCACAACCGCCTTGCCAAGAGACGTCCACACGACACCGTGTTGTCAATCGCTCATCACCAAGGTGCTAGCCCACGGCATCTCAATCTCCCCTTGATGAGTGCATTGACAACACCACACCGCTAAATTTATTCGTACTGAAAAAGAAAAATAAAAAGAAAGAAAAAGAAATGATCTTAATCCCCAAAGACATGGGCTAGCGAAAAAGCTAGGCTCGACACAATCAAGACAGAAATTCACTCTCCCCAAAGTGAATCAAAAGCCATATCAATCTCCCAAAAGCAATCTCAAGACAAAACTCACAAATTTCAGCAAAACTCCCCCTGAATGAACGAACTCCCCCTGCAAGAATGAATTTGTGCGCTACTCACTCTCCCCCTTGTTGACAAAGCACTCCATCAAGATAAAATGCAAGGAACCAATTTAGAGAAAAGCATGTGAGAAAGCACAAGTTGAAGCTTCTGAGACATATGCCAAATACTTATAAAAGCTAACCAACAACACTAGCTATCCAGAGAAGGAACAATACAATGCCATGACCAATAAAAATTTAGAACTGAAATCTGTTTGAAAACTAATGTGCTGAGCAAAAACATGCACATTCCAGACTCAGTGCAAAGTGAAGACACAACATATAGCGAGCTCACACGACGGATACACAGCTTGGTCAAAGTTCACTTTAACGCCCACAAATGCATTCACTTGTCATATTTAAGTCGACTTTTGTGAGCATGATAAGGGGATATGGGAAGCAAGAGTTGTGCCCTTGACCAGTTTGTTTATTTTTGTTTATGAGCGAGAACCAAGCGAGGACATGGGAAAAACAGAGTTGCGCCCATATTTAAATTCTCGAAGAAGGCAAGCAGATCATGAGCTAAATAGCAGAGATATGGGAATTGAGTTTTGCTCACAACCATACTATGCACTCCAGAGTTAAAACTTGTATTGTGAGTTACATTTGCGGTGAAAACCCATTAAAAGAAGTTGACTACCGAACCATGAGCAAGATATATGTCAAGTATTCAACAAGTCACTAGATCCGAGAAAAGCAAGCATAGCCCAACATAATTTTTAAGTATATATCTGTGTTGTTTTCAAAATAAAAATTGGTCAAGCAAAGCATTCAAACCTCTCCAAAAGCATCGATCGTAAACTAGCCAAAACAAGTATAAGGCATATGTAATCTGAAGCAACTTACAATGATACTAGAATGGGTAACACACCCGAACTCTGCATAAGCAAACGCAAAGCGTGGTTTGATCGAGTGGTTTAGTCAGAATATCAGCAAGTTGCTGACTAGTATCAATGTATTTAAGCTTAATATCACCCTTCTCAACATGATCCCTCAGAAAATGATGACGAACCTCAATGTGTTTCGTCTTAGAGTGAAGCACAGGATTCTTTGCAACACTTATAGCGCTAGTCTTTGTCACACAAGAGAGGAACGCGAGAAAACGACAAACCAAAATCGCGAAGGGTAGCTATCATCCATAAAAGTCGAGAACAACAACTAGCAGCAGACAACATACTCAGCCTCTGTAGTAGATTGAGCAACATTAGATTGTTTTCTAGAGGACCAAGAAACAAGCGAAGAACCCAAAAATTGGCAAGTACCCGATGTAGACTTTCTATCCAAACGACACCCAGCAAAATCAGCATCCGAATAACCACACAAACCGAGAGTTGAAGCAAGCAGAGTACCAAAGGCCAAATGCAGGAGTAAATCAAGATACCTCATTATGCGCTTCACCGCTTTGACGGTGAGAAGTCTGGGGGCCTGAAAACGAAAGCACACATACACACAACAAAGTGTATATCCGGCCTCAGTAGCGATCAAGTACAAATGACGACCCAATCATGCTTCGATATTCCTTCTGATCCACGGGCTCTCCGTCCTCATCAGCATCCAAAGCAGCGCTAGTCGGCATGGGCGTAGAAATTGGCTTCGCATCATCCATCGCAAACTTCTTCAGGACATCCTTCGTGTACTTTCCTTGATGCACAAATGTACCTTCCGAAGTTTGTTTTATTTGTAAGCCAAGAAAGAAATTCAGCTCGCCCATCATAGACATCTCAAATTCTTTACTCATCACATCTGCAAACTTTTTCACAAGAGCATGAGAGGAACCACCGAAAATGATATCATCCACATAAATCTGAACTATTAAAGTGTCATTGCCTTGCCTGAGGAGAAAAAGAGTTTTATCAACTGAACCCATTTTGAACCCGTTTTTAAGCAGAAAAGTTTTCAATCTAGCATACCAAGCACGAGGTGCTTGCTTCAAACCATATAAAGCCTTTTGCAACTTAAAAACATGATCAGGAAAATTGGGATGTTCAAAACCAGGCGGTTGTTTAACATAAACTTCTTCTTCTATAAAACCATTCAGAAAAGCACTTTTCACGTCCATTTGATAAAGCTTATATCCACGTGAAGCAAAGCAAATGCAAGCAAAATACTGAATGGCTTCTAAACGAGCAACAGAGCAAAAGTTTCACCATAATCAATACCCTCTTTTTGAGAAAAGCCACAGCAACCAACCAGCCTAGCTTTATTTCTAACAACATGACCATCTTCCCCTTGTTTGTTCTTAAAGATCCATTTAGTTCCAATTGGTTTACAAGAAGGAGGAGGATCAACCAAAACCCAAACCTGATTCCGTGCAAAATTTTCTAACTCCTCATGCATGGCATTGACCCAGTTAGAATCAGATAAAGCATGTCCAACATCTCGGGGTTCAAAAGAGGCAACAAAGGCAGTATGCGCAAAGACACAATAATTTTTATTTTTCGTACCTCTGTTCCTTGTCGTGCGTTCATCCAAATTACCTATTATGTTCTTGGCAGGATGACGATTCTGAATGTGTCGTGGTGTCAGACGTTCGAAATCGCCTCCCCTCAACTGCAGCAGTACAGGTACATGATCAATGATCGGTGAAGTGCAGCTCTGCTTTGTAGATGTACGTGTCGGCGATGGTCCATCCTCCAAAGTGGTGGAGGGCGCTTTTCAGTCGGGCGCCAGGCTCGAGCTCGCATCGCGAAAGTGGGCATCATCGTCATCGTCGTCGTCACATCCATCTTCCTCTTTCTCATCCTCAAAAATATCCTGCCCGATCTCGTCATCACCTGCACACTCAAAAGCGTAAGAAAAACAAGGCATTGTCTCGTCGAAGGTGACCTCACATGTCTCATCGATGCGGTTAGTATCAAGATTAAGCACACGCAACGCTTCGCCCTTGCAAGGCATACCCCAAAAATAACCCATCGGAAGAACGCGATTCAAATTTATCCAAATTTCCTTTTTCAATATAAAACACTTGCGTACCAAAAACTCGAAGGTGGAAAACTTTGGGAGGTCGACCAAATCTCAACTCATAAGATGTTTTTCCTAGAAAAGCTCTAAGAAAAATGCGATTAGCAACATAGCAAGCGGTGTTGATAGCCTCACCAAAAAGCGTCTAGGAGTTTTATGTTCATCAAGCATTGTCCTAGCCATCTCAACAAGCGCGCACGATTTTTACGCTCAACAACACCGTTCTCGGGAGGAACGTAAGGTGAGGAAAATCGATGATCTAAACCTTGTTCGAACAAAAAGCTTTCATGCGAGAATTCTTGAATTCGCATCGTTGTCATCGCTGAATTGCTCTAACGACATTATTTGACAACTCATTTTTGACTTCAGAACAAGATCATGAACATGTGAGAAAGCCTCATCCTTAGATTCCAAAAGAACACCCATGAATATCGAGAAAAATCGTCCACAACGGCGAGCACATACCACTTCCCACCAGACCGAACACGAAATTTGGACCAACAAAGATGTCCATATGTAACAGTTCACCCGGTCGTCTCGTCATCACACGAGTCACAGGTGCATGAGAAGCAACAACCATTTTTCCATGTTTGCGAGGGAGCACAAATCAAATCCTTTTCAAACTTGAGTTTGGTAAACCATCAATTAAATCCAATGAACTCAAACGACAAAGCAAATCAAAGCTCAAGTGGCCCAATCGACGATGCCACTTCCAAATCGGGGAACCATGAGCAACTAAACATCGAGTTTCACCAAAAGATTTAGAAAAATCAGCTTTAAAAATCCGTCTAAAAGGAGAAATCTTGCAAACAAGGTTACCAAAGAGAATCAAGAACACGCTTAATTTCCTTTCTTAAAACGAACCTCAAAATCATCCTCAAGAAGTTGCGTAAACAGATAAACAAATTATAATGCAAATTCTTTACCAATGCGACGCCCTTTAGCGTGTATTTATCATTACCTTGATGCAGCCATGCGCCATTACCTTACCTTGACTTTTATCCCCAAAAGTGATGTTTTCCTTTACGCTCGTGGGGGTGAGGTCGAGAACCATTTATCATCTCCGGTCATGTGGCGCGAACAACCGAGTCCATTATCCATATGTCCTCCTCGCCTCCAACCTGCAATCAACAACGAGAGCGAGGGTGAGCTAATGACTCAACACTGGGGTTAGGATAATGTAATGAAAACCAAAGTCTTTGAGCCACTTGCTCAAAAGAAGCATTAGCAAAATCAAAGCTCTCAAAAAAACGATGAGAACCACGAGGGGAAAATGTGGTCATCATCCCGATGTTGTGCAAGAGCACGAGTACGTGAGCGAAAAACCGGAAGAGCGAACAAATGGCTCACGTCTCAAAATAGGACGATCATGAGTACCACGCATGTGAGTCTTGCTCACATCTAAAAAACACGGCGATCATGAGTACCACGTGTGGGTATCGCTCACGCTCGTTCAAAGACGCATCCTCCGATAATGTAACTCATAAAGATGACCATCATGACCGCAAAAATCACAATGATAAAGCTTGCGTGCGGGAGGAGCGATGAAGCCTCAAAGATTAGAACTAGAAGCAACAAAAACAAAGCTTAGCAAAATGATCACAAGAAGAACCATTTGGCTTAGTATTTTGTACACCCTTGAAGTGTTTTGGCTTAGGCGCCCAAACCTGCTTTTTAGGAGCAGATCTAGATGTCTCAACCAAAGCAACCCATCGGAGGTGACACCGAACCCTTCCTAGGAGGTGGTCCGGTATATTTAGCCAAAGGTGGATTCTTCTCATCAACAAAGCGGTCCACTTTTTTCACCAAAAACATGTTTCAAGTCATAACGGGACCAAAGCGCTCACCCCGTTTAATTTGAGCAATAGCCATACCAATTTGAGGCTCACGAATAGAACACCAACCAAGAATAGTTCTCAAATGCTTATTTTCTTCTTCCAAATCAGCAAGTTTGGCCTTAAATCATTATTTTCAACAACAAAATTAGGACAAGTTAGGCATGAAGGAAGAACCGGACAAGTGTGTTTTTCCAACTCAACAATATGTGATTTAGCACCATTTAATTCAGATCGTAAAGTTGGACAAATCAAACAATCCGGGCAAATCAGGACAAGTGTGTTCTTCAAAATTTTTTACCCGACATAAAGCATTATCCAAGTCAACTTTCAGAAGCGGGCAAGAAACACAAGTACCAAGCAAATTCGACCGAGAACGAAGTTCATTTAGTTCAGCGTAAAGTTTATCTCGATCATCAACAATGGAAGAATACTTGGTTTGCAATTTAGAAAGCGAAATCATATGAATTGAGCATTCTTCACATTCATCAGGTTCAGCAGGATTAGATGCAGCATTTTTGAGAGTAGCTAGTTCAGCACAAGTTTTATCATAATCAGTTTTAAGTTTAGCCAACACTTTATTTTGCTTATGAACAATTTTAGTTAAATTAGCTATTCTTTGTTCTGCAGAAGTATCTACCTCATCATCAGAAGTTTCATCGTTGCTGTCGGTTGATGCATCACCCTCCAAGGCCATAGTACATATCCCACCATTGATGCCGGCGTCAGTGATGAAGCAAAGTCCGTCTGTCTTCTTCTTGGGTGTCTCATCCTCGGAATCTGAATCGCTGGAGTCTGATGAGCCACCTGAAACATACTGTCCAAGAGAAGATAACAAAACATTTGCAGCCCTAGCGACTTGCTTGTCAGAGTATTTTTGTCCGCCTTTCTTCCATTGCTTATCCTTCTTCTTCTTCCTCTCCCTGAACTTCTCCTGGCGCCTGGAGGAGTTATTACCCTGCTCAAAAGATCTCTGCTTGTTTGGGCAATCAGCAGCAAAGTGTCCTCGCTCACCACAGTTGAAGCAGCCATCTGAACGTCTTCTATTACGCCTGTTGTCATACACACGCTTAAACTTGTTGGAGAGCAGTACAAGCTGATCATCATCTAGCACCTCCAACTCCTCATCTGCAACATGACACAAAGAAGACAAAGCAAAACTAGAAACATTTGGATTAGCATTAGTGTTAGTCTTATTTCCAGAAACCAAAGCCATTGGAACGTCAGAAGAAGAAGCAGCTGTGGGATTTTTCAATTTACGCTTAGAAACAATTTCAATCTCTTTTGATTTGAGCTTACTGTAAAGCTCATCAGCGGTGAGAGTCTCATAACCTACAGATTCAACGATCGCCTCAACTTTCATATCCCATTCATCATTAAGTGAATGTAATAATCTGAGAGCCCTAGCATGATCATCATAAGGCATATTGCTATTCATGGCCTTCATCTTATTAACAATCACTTGAAAACGTGCAAACATGTCATCAATAGACTCACTAGGCAATTGGCAAAAAGCATCAAACTCTTTTCGGTGAATCTCAAATTTTCGGTTTTTCACAGTGTTTGAGCCTTCATGATATTTTCTAAGTTTCTCCCAGATCTGATAAGCGAGATCTTCACTAGAAACCCGATCATATTCAGTTTTACAAATAGAAGCCTGTAAAATAGCAACAGCACGATGATTTGTTTCAAGAAGCCCGATCTCAGCGGCGTCAGTCGGTTCCTCAGCTGGAATCACATATGTGGCATTTTGTGTGATTTTCCATAGCTTCAGCGACTTGCCTTTGAGATAGTTGGTCATACGTGCCTTCCAGTAATCATAATCAGTCCCATCAAAAAACGGAGCGCGAACATCAAACTTTTCATTGGTCGCCATAGCTTTCAGCACCGATTAAGGTATAGAAAACCTAAACCGGCTCTGATACCAATTGAAGGATCGTAACGGGCGACCAGAGGGGGGGGGTGAATGGTCGCGGAAGCCAAAACTTTCTAACAAAAATTTCTAACCCTTCCCCTAAACACAAAACCTGAATAAATCACGTTTTTCAAATCTGGACAGAACTCTATGTAGCTAGTAAACCTGATGTGGACGAAAATCCGTAACTCCGATCGACCTAAAAATTTGTCAGATTAAACTAGATGAAATTACGAAACTAACCCAACTGGAATCACGTCAATCGGACTTACGGATCTTGAGATAAAAATAAAACAAGCAGACTATGTCAGATGCTGACGAGAATTGTAAAGAACCAATCGAGATGCACAAGATCAATCATTATAGATGAAAGATTAAATCGAGTAATTGAACTTACAAAAGTGCATCTAGCCTCCGCCCGAACATCCTCCCTCTCTTAATCGGAGAGATCAACAAAAACCTCTCACTAGAATTCAAACCCTAGGCTAGACCGGAGAGAGGAAAATTGAACCGTGGAACCCCAGGGCACGAGTACTGTTCACGGGTACTGTTCACGCGTGAATAGTAACTCGCCGGGAGTCCAAAACGTCCTGCCACTCTCAACCCTAGGTGCCACATATTTATATCTCCAAAGGGTGGCACGACCTATTTTCACATAACCCCCTACGCTAAATAAATCCAACGTAGGGGCGTAAATTCCAATTACGTCCTCCATGGCAAATTCCGCGATGTCCGCGATCCCTCCATCTCCGCGATGTGATCCTCGCGATGTCGCCGCACGACCATCCGAAATCGTATCGCGATCGCTGTAATTTCCATCTTCGCCAACGACGCCGCGACGAAAGCGCCCCGAGACGATGCATGGCTTTGTGGCTCAACCCAATAAACCCGGATTTTGTGGCATAATCCGAAACCTCCCTCGACGTCCTCCCGCCGTGTAGCAGCAGTATGATGACGTACACCGACGATCGCTTTGTCCCTCGAACGCAAGCCTCGATCCGCCCTTCTCCGCCCCCGCGGTTTTTCGACGCGGCATCCTATCTTCGTTCTTCACTCGTCACCGCATGTACCTTGTCTCCACCTGTCACCTGCAACCACAACCTGCCAAGAGACACGTCACACGCACACCGTGTTGTCAATCGCTCATCACCAAGGTGCTAGCCCACCGGCATCTCAATACCTCTTCTTCCAATACTCCTTGGAGAAAAGCATTTTGTGCATCAAGTTGACGAAGAGACCATCCCTTGGATACAACAATAGATAATATGAGTCGAATGGTGGCCGCCTTGACAACTGGACTAAACGTATCTTCGTAATCGATCCCATATCTTTGCTTGTACCCTTTTGCAACAAGCCGAGCCTTGTACCTGTCAACAGTGCCATCTGCCTTCCTCTTAACCTTATATACCCATTTACAATCAATGATATTTTTACCTTTGGGAAGAGATACGAGACCGATGAAACCTTACAATTAACTAATGATAACTAACTTATACAAAGCTTGCATGAGGTCAGACCTAACCGATGCAGCCTTACAAACAAATTGTAAGTCATGACGGATACTCATAGACAAACCGGAGGTCAGACTTAACCGACAGCAGCCCTGCTTGCCAAAGAACTTGTCGAAATCTACTCTACTCCTACTCCTAAGGGATGGCGTAAGCCGATGGTTTTTGATTGATCACAGAGATGTCTATTACAATAGCCGGGGTTTAATATTTATACCTAAGGCTTGACTATGAGTCCTGGTCGAATAAGACCATTTACAAAACTTGAAAAAGAAAACAAAACCTTCCCATTATTGCGATAACTTGGACCTCAATCTTTTCCTTCTATGAAGTCCAACGCATCTTCTTGCTTCATGTCTTGTCGTCCCTGCCAATAGGGCCCATTCTTGTGCAACGATGACGTCACCCTATCCTAGTTGGTTCTGATGGTAATCCAGTTAGCCGATCTTGTTGAATATCTCGGCTTCCCTTTGATGGTTCTCGAAACACAAGGTTTTCTCATTCGAACCAAATTTTGGTCTCAACACATGCCCCCCCAATTTTGGGATAAAATGATTTTATTCCAAAATTATTTCTTATGACCACTGCACGCATTGTACTCCCAACCATCTGTCCTGATCTCATTCCTTAACAACTTAATTCCCTTGGCCCTGTAAGGGACCGTGACACCTAAGAGGGGGAGGGGGTGAATTAGGCAACTTAGAAAACTACTTCTAACTAAGACCTCTAATTCCACCTAGTGAAAAACCTATGTAAGAAAGTAATCTATATAAATATGCAACTACGGTTTTGCTAGGTGTGTTGCTCTCTCTACCGCAAAAGAGTTATGCAACCTAGGTTCCGATCCTATCAACTAGCCTATCAACTAAGCTAGGAAAGTAAAGCACACAACCAAGGTAGCAATGTAAATGTGGAAGGTAAAGATGAGGTAGAGATGCAAACTCCCATCGATGACTCTGGTATTTTTACCGAGGTATCGAGAAGCGCCTTGTTGGAGCCCCTCACAAGGAATCCCTCACAAGGGCCAAGCTCCCAGTCGGGTAACTCCGTGGATAGCCTCGGGCCTTCCCCACGTGCAAGTGGGTCTCCGGTGTGCCTTCCGACAAGCCTCTCCCAGACCGCTCCCCACCGTCTTCACTATCAAGCTTCTGGCCGGACCGCCACGGGCCTTGTTTCCTTCGGTACACGGTGGCGGCCACACCACAAACACGGTTGGTGTGGTCTCGCAAGACTACAAGCCCCGCCGAGTACAACAATGGTAAGCACAAGCACCGAGTGGTAGGAGGTGTGCAAACCTCACTAAACACTAGGCTTAAACCTAGAGCAAACGTATATGTGGTGGTCTAACTAACCTAAGCACTTTACAAAGCACCTATGCTAATCACCAAATGGATCACTAAGCACTTAGCATATGGAGAGTAGTAGAATGGAGTACAAACTCCTTTGGTATGTTCCTCAGCTCCCTCACCCTTCAAATGGTCGGTTGGAGTCATATATATAGGCCACAAGTGGAGATATAGCCGTTGGGGCTGAGCTCCATGTTTCTGCATGGGCACTAGACATGGCGGTGCCAGGCACTGGACATGACGGCGCCAGCCACGTCAGCCAGCTGTTGGTCATTGACAATTGACCGTTGGGGCACTGTACACTGGGGCGGTTGAAAGCTCTATCTTGGTTTTTGAAGAATTGATGAAACCCTAAGTGCTAACCTAGTTTATCAAGTGATCATGAGATAGGTAGCACACTCCAAGTGGTGAAGTAAATGAAGATCATTGCATGATGAAGATGATGCCATGGTGATGATCAAGTGCTTGGACTTGGAAAGAAGAAAGAGAAAAACAAAAAGCTCAAGGCAAAGGTATAAACCGTAGGAGCTATTTTGTTTTGGTGATCAAGACACTTAGAGAGTGTGATCACATTTAGGTTTGATAGCCGTACTATTAAGAGGGGTGAAACTCGTATCGGAATGTGTTTATCAAAGTGCCACTAGATGCTCTAACTCATCGCATATGCATTTAGGATCTAGTGGAGTGCTAACACCCTTGAAAATGTTTGTGAAAATATGCTAACACATGTGCACAAGGTGATACACTTGGTGGTTGGCACATTTGAGCAAGGGTGAAGAAGTTAGAGGTGAGAAGGAGTTAGTGTCGATGGCTATACAGTGACCGGACGCTAGACCTCTGGGATACCGGCGCGTCTGGCCATGTATAGCAGTGAAGACGCCAGCGTCGGTAAACGGCCGGACGCTGGGTCACTCAGCGACCGGATGCTGGAAGGCTGTGTCCGGTTGTGTTGTCAGACAGCACAGACAGAAGTCAGCGTCTGACCGGACGCTGGCAGGATCCGGTCAAGCATGACCGAACAAGTCCGGTCGGCAAAATATCTTTCTGGAACCTTACTGGAAACGGCCGGACGCTGAAGGCTCAGAGTTCGGTCAGTTGTAGCGGAGCGTCCGGTCAATAGATGACCGTTGAGATCAGACGACTCCTGTTGAACGCAGTGTGACACGTGGCTAACATCGAGCAACCGGACGCTGGGTCCAGAGTTCGGTCAGTATGACCGGAGCATCCGGTCACCCCGCGATGTACCCAGTGAAGGGGTACAATGGCCCTATTTCGTGGGGGCTTCTATTTAAGCCCCATGGTCGGCTCAAGCTCACCCTCTTGGCCATTTGCATTGACATAGCAACCTTGTGAGCTTAGCCAAAGCCCTCCCACTCATCTCTATCATTGATTCATCATCTTTGTGAGATTGAGAGAGAATCCAAGTGCATTGCTTGAGTGTTTGCATCTAGAGGCACTTGGTGTTCATGTTTCGATGTGGGATTCGCTTGTTACTCTTGGTGATTGCCGCCACCTAGATGGCTTGGAGTAGCGAGGACCATCGAGCGGAGGGTGGTGATTGTCTCCGGCTCCGATCGTGGTGATTGTGAGGGGTTCTTGACCTTTCCCCGGTGGAGCGCCAAAAGGTACTCTAGTGGATTGCTCGTGGCTTGTGTGATCCTCATCTTGTGTTGGTTGTGCAACACCCTATTGAGGGTTTGGCGTGTGAAGCCAATTAGCGCGTGAACCTCCAAGTGAGTGAATCGCCACAACGAGGACTAGTTTGCCGACAAGCAAGTGAACCTCGGTAAAAAATCATTGTGTTCATCATTGATTCTGAGGTGATTGGTCTTCATTGTTATTCATCTTTGTGATTGATTGGTTCCTTCATCTACACGTCGGTATAACTTTCTTGATCACTCTCTTTACATTACCACAAACTAGTTGTCAAGCTCTTTAGTGTAGTTAGTTGTGAGAGCTTGCTTGCTTGGTTGGTGTGGCTCTTTAGTTAGCCTTTGAGAGCACACTAACATAGAGTAGTGTCATAGCTATT